CTTCTTCATTCTTCATGTCTTCACTCTCCTCTTTAATAAATGCCATCTTAATAATAGTGAGTTGTGTGTATCTCAGCTGCTTCAGCAGGAGTTTTTCTGTGTGTTTGGACACTTGTCCTGTTTAAATTAAAATTATTAACAGATTGGAAAATAAATTAAAAGTAAATCTGTGTGTGCATCTCAATCAGTTCCCTAGTTCTGTAAAGGAGTCAGAGTGAGAGATAATGGCCTTAACCTGTTAAGACAAAAACAATTAAATAATTAAAACAATGAAAAGTACACAAATTATGTAGAAGGTTTATTTTTGTAGATTAACTGATTTGTGTATTATATTTAATAGATTACACTTTCATGAAACCATTTGCAGTTGGTTTGTAAAAGCGGTCATTACTCATGTTTGTGTTTGTTCTCGTTGCATGTTTTGAGCAGCAGTGAGTCGTCAGTGGCGGTGATTCGAATCACTGAGTCATTCTGCGATGTAATTGATTCAGTTGATTCGGAGTTTCGAAAAGCTTCGTTTCTCCATCACTACTCGCCGGTGATTGAATTGGTGTTTATGATAAACTGATTCACGGTATAGGGAGCGAAATGAGACGCACTTTTCTCTAATTCGTGTGCAGATGCGCTTTACTCACACAAAATAACTTTAATTATTGTCACTAGATAAATAATTACAGTGTTACAGTCAGTAATAATTAATTTCACACTTATATACATCATATACAATTCTCTAAACGAGCTCTATTGATTCAAACACTTCAGAAGATTCTTCTTCTTCTTCTTGCTTTACGGCAGATCGCAGACTTATAAGTGCATTACCACCACCTATATCTCAAATGGACCATTGACACTCTATCTACAATCTCCTAATTAACCTACCAACCCACATACAAACACCCTTGATTCTTGTACCCGCTTAGAGTCTTCATAGGGCTTCATCCGGCACTGCGTATTCAGCTTCTCCGTCCTCCCTCAGCCCTCTTAAGCGGGATTTGAAAGGAGAGAGAGAGAGAGAAAATAACTGTAACAATAATGATTTAATGTTTCTTCCTGGATTTAATACATTCTTAATTATAAACCGCTCACCCTTATTCTCTAGTTCATCCTTCAACTCATTTCTTTCAACAGTATATTTCCTACAGTACATTATAACGTGTTCAACTGTTTCATTAACGCCACATACCTCACATAACCCTGTTGGATGTTTACTTATTAAATGCAGTGTACTGTTCAACCTTGTATGCCCCAATCGCAACCTTGTAACCCATTCCTGGCCAGAAATACCCCTCATCACATTAACTACTCGCTTACATCTTCCCACCATCTTTTCTACATGCTCTCTCCAGGTTAATCTACTGTCAAACCATACTCCTAAAAATCGTATTGTATATACATGTTCTAGCTCTTGTTTATATAATTTTAACTTAATATCAACAGTTATCTTCATATTTGTAAAAAGTATTATTTTTGTCTTTTCCACTGAAAACTTCAAACCATTTTCCCTTGACCACTTTTCTACTTCATTTAATGCACATTGCATCTTCTTTATAGTATACTCTATATTCTTTCCTTTAAACCAAAGAGCCCCATCATCAGCAAACAAAGACTTCCCCAGACTTGAATTTATCCTTAAAAAAAACTTCATTAATCATGATGATAAATAACAGTGGGCTAATTACACTGCCCTGGGGTGTTCCATTCTCGATTACTCCAGTGGAGGATACAGCGCCACCAACCTTCACCCTTATACTTCTTCCAATTAAAAATTATTTAATCCAGTTGTACATTCTTCCTTTTATACTCAACTTTTCTAATTTTATTAATAATCCCTCTTTCCACAACATATCATACGCCTTTTCTATATCGAAAAAAACAGCGATGACACTCTCCTTGTTTACAAATGCCTTTCTTATATCATCTTCTAAAGATACTATTGAATCCAAAGTCCCTCTTCCCCACCTAAACCCACTTTGATAAGGAGAAAACCAGTTAATTTTTTCCAAATGATATGTCAATCTGTCTGTAATCATTCTCTCCACGACCTTACATAAATGAGAAGTTAAAGCTATTGGACGATAACTCATAGGATTACTTGGATCTTTCCCAGGCTTTTTAATAGGTATAATTAATGCTTCCTTCCAACTTTGAGGAAGTGTACCTTCCATCCATATTCTATTGTAAAATGCTAAAATCACCTTCATAGAATTTTCACTAAAATGCTTCATCATACTATAACTTACTCCATCCATTCCTGGAGCAGATTGTTTCATTCTTCTTACTGCATTTCTTAATTCACTCATTGAGAATGGTACCTCTAGCAACTCATTACCAGTCACCTTTTACCCCAATAAATCTGGATACTCTATTAACATATCTTTCCTTATTTCCTTACTCTGATCAGTTACATTTTCTGAACTATCTACGTTTATAAACGTCTTTAAAAACATTTCCACTTTCTTTCCATCCTCCACAGCAATTTATCCTCCAATACTTAAAACTGGATATTCCTTATTTTTAAAAATTCCTTTCATTTTCTTAATCATGCCCCACACCTCCTCTACTGGTGTATTCTTACCTATTTCATTACAGTATGACTTCCAATACTCTATTTTGACTTTTCTTACTGTCCTTCTTACATCTGCTTGTGCTTTTGTATAGTCTATTCAATCTTGAAAATTATGAGTTTTCCTAACTCTCCTAAATGCTTTCCTTTTTTTCCTTATAGCATTTTTACATTCTTCATTCCACCATGGGACTATCTTATTCTTTCTTCCCCCTCTCCCCTTTGGTATATACTTATTTGCTGCAATTAGTATCGCTTGTACTATTTCTTCACTTATCATCTCTACCGACCTATCTGATTCTACTATAATATTATTTAATCCCTCTTCACTTATTCTTGTAAATTCTTCCCAACTCGCTTTGTCGTACTTCCAATTACAAATACTTCCTTTACTTACACCATTTCTTCTTGCGTTTACTCTTATAGATATCATAATAGGGTAATGATCACTCCCAATAGTGTCTTGTCTCATTATTTCCCATTCAGCACTCCCTGCAATTGCGTCAGACACCATTGTTAAATCAAGCACGGACTCTTTGCCTGCTGCCACATTTACCCTTGTATTATTCCCATCATTTAAACATACCAAATTTCTCCTGTCTATCAAATCTTCCACCACCAATCCATTGCAATCTGTCACTAAACCTCCCCATAACGTACTCTGTGCATTAAAATCCCCACACCAAATCACCCTATCTTCATTTTGACCCTCTATTTGTTCTAACTCATTCAACAGTAATTTCTTACAAGGATTATAATAGTTTATTATTACATAATTTATTCCGTTCACCCAAACCTCTACTACTACATACTCTTTTGTTACACCTTCACCCTCCACCATTGCCCTCCTCACGATCTCCTCTCACTAACGTAACTTCAGAAGATTAAAAGCACACACCTTTCTTCAGCCGAATCACAGACGCAGAGCGCGCGCAGCCTTGTGACGTCACATCACCAAACCTAAATAAAAGTCTTGCTTTCTAAAGCATATAATTTTACATTAGAATACGAATATAAACGAGGCATAGGATGAACTGAATGAATGAATGAATTGCAGAGCGATCAAAAGCCCAAAGCTATTAATACCGTTGTGCTTTATATCTAGTCTTGTATCTGAATGTAAGCAACTGTGAAGTACTTTCAATGCATGATTAACTTAAGAACATTTGGTCTTCAAATTACAGGACTGGAAATAACTTCTGAATATTTAATTCTCATAAATAATTTGTAGATCAAAATTAAATTTGTGGTTGCAGAGAGATATAACTATTTCAATTATTATCTGAAACTGAATCCTTGTGACAATTTGTCCATCTTATTCAATCTCAGTTTTTTCTCAAAATCAAAAATCAAATGTCAGCTTTATTTGGTTAAAGTGGATTTCATTAAAGCTCCATGAGTAAAGTATTACATTGATGTGGGTTGAAAACAGTTGATTTTGACTGTCTGAATGGAAATCTTTAATTAAAATGGTTTAAATAATTTATTTTAAATGTTAATGAAATGTCATTTACATTACCCCAGATTATCTTTATTACAATCGTCAGTATATAATCTGTTTCCTAATTGCTATTATAACAGAAACAAGTTACCTATTAAGTTCTCAGATTGTAGTTATTGGAAATTGATTAACAAACATAATTTTTCCTGCCTATATCAGATACACATTGAAAATGAACAAATCTGTCCTTAATAAGGATTGGATAGAAAGTCTTTGATCTTATTGATTTCAGTGATAATGTTCTTTTATATGAGCAATTTAGTTTAAAATACAGTTTTCACAACATAACGGAATATGGGTCATTGATTAAAGCCTTGCCTTTTTGGTTTCTTTAATTGGCAAAAAATATGACAAGAACTGGTATGCTAAGTACTGGCCAAATGTGCTTTATGAATCTTATATCTAATACTAGCTACAGTTAAATCAAAAATTATGTCAAGCTAACATGGGATGTGTTTTTGTGTGAAGTGAACAGTTTTTTTTTTGTCATTTTGACATTTCTGAATATTTGTGTACACGCTACACTAAAATTTAGTGTCAAAGATGATTGCATAGTGGTGAATGGAAGACTACTTTTTGTTGATTTTATATATATATATATATATATGTCCATACATATACAAATATATATACACACACATACATATACATATACACACACATACACACACACACACACACACATACAGAGATTGATTACAGCAGTCCAAATTACGGTCACTCTTCTAATATAACACACAGCATAAATATCTTAATACAAATATCTTTAATTCTCTTAAAACATTATATTAACAATATATTGTTATACTATTATCATACTTTAAAAAATAAAAAATATTTCTTATACAATTCCTTATAACTATCACAAACACAAATATCTTAATACAAATATCTAAAATGATAAATAATGGCACTTCAAGGTACCATGTGCTGCCAGGAAACAAGAGGCCAAGGCCAAAGTGGAGAGATGGAAAGGCCGCTCACGTCAGCCTGCCAGACGCAAAGCTGACCGAAGACAAAAAAAGAAAACAACAGTGGCCGTGACAGGGAGTAGTTTTCTTCTTGCTCTCCTTGTCTTACTCCACAACCTGGAACAAAAACATAAATCACTGTTATATATCTAAATACACTACATTTAGAGCAAATTTGACTGATTTTATGAACATGCATTTAGCAAACCTTGGGCTCTAATCTTAGTACCATAAACCAGTCATGGAGCTGCATCTCCTCCAGGACAAGTCTCCGCTGCGGATCAGGCTGCAGACAATCACAGATCATCTGGCAGCATTCTGTTCAAAAAGATGAGAGAGATATCTAATTATTAACTTATATGTTACACCTTTTTATATTTAGATTTCAATTGTAAACTTTCATATTTAGAGAAATTGTCCATCTTTGATGGAGATCTCACCTTGTGGCAGGTCAGGTTCGGACCAGTCCTTCTTACTGATCCTGTGCAGGTCTTTGTCGTCTGGATAATACCATCACGAACAGCAGGATCTCTAATGAACATACTGTCGCCGGCTTTGCATGGTACCTGCCAGTGACATTGAACTCCGGTGGGCAGAACATTTCTGTGCCTAAAGAGAAGAGAATTTGATATTTAATGCATTTCTACAGCAGATGTGTGAGCTAAATAACACGCTAGCAAATCATTAAACATACCATTGAAGGCCACGTAGGCAGAGTCCTTCATGAGCAAGCCCCATCCGAAGTCGAGCAACTTGACCTCCAACATGTCCGTTTTCACCAGGAGGTTCTCCAGTTTTATATCATGATGGAAGACTCCACGCTCACAGCAAATGTTAGTGGCATGAATGACCTGCCACATAACATGTCATGCCATCTTCTCATCGAGCATTCATCGGAGCATGGGCTGCTCCAAGACCATGACGTAGTAGTCCGGGTCGTCCTAACAGTTCAGGAGTTTAATTATCTGCAGAAGGCTGGGGCCCTTATTGGCCATGAGTGTCAAGCTGATCTCTATGGGGAGGCGTTTGGGATGACCAGCTAAAAGAAAGAACATATGATGCTTAGATAGAGGTGCTTTCTCAGATTAACATGAATATAAGATTTTAGAAACTGAAAACAGTGAATGAGATGCAATAATATAGAAAGCGCAGGCTACTTACAACCTACGATATATGGCATATCTGGTGTCTTGTCAGCAATTTTCACCTGATCAACAAAACAAAGCATGCACATAACCATAGCCTCCTTCACCCTGCAGCTTGGGGCCAAATTCATATCGCCAGAAAATGTGGCCTATTAAAAGATAAACAAATGTTGAGCATGATTTTATGCATTTTATAATTTAGAATTACATTTTACTTACTAATTCTCATATATGTATTACTGTTACTGTTGTCTGGCTCCTCCGCTTCATCATCTTCAGTGGAGCTAACTTCAGCTGTTCCTCTACAGCAGGGAGGACTTCAAAAG